AAAAAAAAAAAAATCTCCAAGTGTTTGAAGAAGTGACCAACCAATTGTATTTCTTACTGTTACTACCTAACAGAAAATTTCCAGCCAGGCAAAAAAAAAAACCCAAACAACAAAAAAACAATCACCAAACCCCAAACACACTACACCATAGCTAGGAAACTAAATTGAAGGTGAACTCCACATTGAGCCAGCTCTCTAAAATAAGTGTGTGGAAATGCCCTGTATGATGTCAATTTCATCATTCAGGGCTGCTGAATCCTGATCAATTGTATACAGACACATCAGGTCTCCACATATTCAACCTAAGTCGACTTCACAGGACACACTCTCCAGGATCCAAACAACTAGCTAGTTATGACTAAGGTAAGACCTAAACTGACTAGCTGGGGAAACACTAAAGTGTGATCCACTGTGCAATCCCCAATGCTATCACCCACATCACTGTCTGTATTACAAAGATTCTCCCAACGCCTTCACTGAAAAGGTAAGTATTTATGCGTGGAGAAAAAACCCCAAACACAGTAACAAATATAAAACCCCACTGCAAATAGTTGAAGTTACCCTGGCTGGGTATTCAAACTAAGGAAGCTCACTTTGATGTCTTCAGGGTTGCTTCATAGAGCAAACCCAGGCTTTCAAGACTCAAGTCAAAAAGCAGAAACCCATCAACAACTGTCAACCAGTCAGAGAGGTCGACTACACCAACTGTATAACAGAAAATCTGGAGAAAGTTAACAACCACAGTTTTGTGTGTGGCTCAAATTCTGTTTAGTACATTTTAAAACAGATCACAACACCATTAGTGAGTGCTACTCACAAACACTAGGACCTTGCTGTATCAGCTTGTGGAAGAACTTAATCTCTAATAGACAAAATTCTATAGTTACGGGTCTGTGGTTACCAGTTACAACCCATGCTTTGCATCACTCTGCTCAAGAACTGAGTATTTTCACATGTGTACAAATCACCTATTAGTCTGTTCTAGTAATGTTCACAAACACTTGCTGTCCTGAAGGAGGACAAGTCCACATTACAGACCACTGGCACTGACACATGACAGCTTCTCTGCCTCTACTCCAAGACTGTACAATCTGCCTCTGAGCTGGACCAGCAGGTGCATCATTGTTCCATGCCATTGCCAAGGCTGCCACTGTCAAGTGGAAGAGCCTAAAGTCCACCCTGTTCAGGCCACAGGTAAAGCAGCTTTTGCCTGTCCACATCTCTCTACACATCCAAAGTCACCCAGGTTTTTCTAAGGTTGGTCAACAGCTTGTAGGCAAATTAGCCTCTAGTTTGTATAGAATACAAATTCCTTCTGCCACCAGAGAAATTTGTGGGAAAGTTACTAGAGAACTTATTGGGGGAACACATCTGCACTTTCAGCCCCCAAAGCATCATGTCCTAGCTATTGCCAAGGCCTAAAACAGTGGGATAGAGATAACAGCTGAAGTGCTGAGAGCCAGGTAGAGCAAGCCACTATATGAAACTACTGAAACAACTGTGATTTCACTGTTTTTCAGTACAGTTAAACTCACACAAAAATGCCACATCTCCTCTGCAAATACATTTCTGCTGACTCTGAAAAAAAGTAATTTTTAGAACCATTATAATTTTTAATAAGACTCATGTGATATTTAGAGGTGAGTACACTTACAACATATAGCTCATTTCATCTTGTATAACTGTGGGCACCATATAGTCAATCTAAAAAAAAAAAAAAGCAATGAAAACAAAAATCAGTAGGTTTATATATGGAGATTAAATGTATTCAACTTTGAAAACCTATCCTATTTACCTGTTTCATATCCAGAGGGCCAATGTTGGTGATGTTGTTCAGACGTGCTTTTCCAATAACTGTTTTTGAAAACTGAACTTGGGCTGTGATATTTGCCACTTCAACAGAATAATAGTTGTTGTTTGTTATATTTAGTGTGTTCTGAAAGAAAAACAAACACGCACAAAACACTAACATCTATCCATTCTGTGTATCTTGATGAGCATATGTTCTGAAATTTGTGCCCTAGACAGAAAGACCTGAAATTATGCAAGTATATTTCCCTGCCTTCTTGGACTTGGGGGGGGTGGGGTTATGGGCAATCAAGGCACGATGCATCACTTCACCCCTTTCTTCCTATCCTCCATTACTCCTCCAGGAAATTTAGCTATCACAGGGCCCTTTTCTTCCATGGCTGCTTTACTTCATTTAAAATGAAAAACTCTACCGAAAGTCTTTAGGCAGTCCTGTATTGACTGCATTACCAAGAAGTTAAAAAGTATGTAGAAAGAATTCCTTTAAGTTTTAAGGTGGATATCATTTTTCCCCAAAACCATTTTTGACAAATGTATGATACCAGAGCTGCATTTAATAACATTTCTACATATATACACTACATTTCACTCATAGTCCAAAAGTTATGCAGAGAACTCCAAAGTCACTATTCCCCTGAAAACTGAAGGCCCAGTGGTAGTTTGCAACTACACCTCTATTAGCTATAGCTACAGGAACCAGCCACAGTACATCCAGCTACATTTCTCAAATTGGTCATTGTATCTGCTTGTGTTTAAGGTACTAAGTTTATCAGTTAGACGACAATTTTTATTTATATTAAACTGTCACAGTAGTATCTCCTGTTGCATTTATCCATTACAAACAAACAGATAGCTAGACTTACCGTAATATTTAGATATATTATATGTCTACCCTGTTCATAAGTGACATATACTGACTTCACACCAATGTACTCAACGTCAATTGAGCGAGGAAACAAGAAGAATACAGCCAGCCCAGAAAGGAGTAAACATACAATTACAGAAGCAGTCACGTAGAGCTTTCTGGAGGAAAAAAAGAACACATTTCAGAGACAAAAGCATGTTAAACAATAGTGGCATGTTACCTTCTTTTAACTGATAAGGATCATGACTAGTAAATACCACTAGTTCAGTCTATTTCTAGCTTTCATTAGCTTCCACAGGGCGGGGGGGGGGG